GGAGGGGCAAAGGAGGGATAAGGACACATATGTAATACCTTAATAAAGAAATTAAAAAGAAATAAAGGTTATGTCTGGAAATCGAAATTAAGGAAGCAGAGCTTTTTATCCTGAATTTTTTATATTTCTCTATTTGATTAATTTGGTTAAATTGACTGCATGTCACTTTTGCCATTAGGAAAGAAAGGTTAAAAAAGATTACACCTAATTCAATAGCTGAACAAATGCTCTGTAGCCTTCTGTTGTCCTGATAGGAGCTGACCTACGGAAGGGTGGAGAGAATCTTGCCAAGAGGAGCAGGCTGCAGAGAATCTTGAGATCAGGAGAGTCTTGTTGCTTAGGGTTGCAGTATATACCCCAAATGCACAAAGATTTTGCCAGACTCAGGCCAGGTAAGTCTGCTCACCTTTCAAGGTGCTCCAGTGGACTTCTGTATTTGTTCTTTTAAGATCAGGATACTCTGCCTCTGTTCGGGAGGCAGCATGGCGATCTGGTCTGCAGTCAGCTGAAGAACCTGCATGATCAAAGCAGCCTGTGAAGAGAAAAAGAAAGGTAGTGAGTTTTAATGATGGCAGTTAAAAAAACCCCCACAAAACACCACCCGCTTTGGTCAAAAAGAAAGGATATTTCACACACAGAAAACAGCCCTCCACAAATCAACCCAAACCAAATAAACAAACAAAAACAACAACAGCAGCTGGTGAGAAAAAGCATAATGAAAAGCACAAGCACAACAATATCTAAGATTAGAAGACTCAAAACAGACATCTTTGGAACCCAAAGTTCTTGCAGGCTAAAGTGGTATCTGTGAGCCCTGGGAAGTTTTCAGTTTTTCATCATTTTGAACGTCTCTCCTTTTCTCAAGTTTCAGCCCTTCCAGCAGACATGAGTTCCCCACAATGGTCAAATATAGAAACAGAAATATAGTTGTAGGGGATCTGCTACTGTTTTTCAGGGAGAAGGTAGAAAAGGGAGAAGAAAGAAATCTGGATTTCCAGGTCTATCTGGCCTGAACAAAAAAACTGCTATTGGCAGATGAGTCTGAAATGTAAGATAAGCTTCCATTTAAATACATCCATTTAAGGATTTTAGGACTGACCCACAAATTTTCAGGTTAACAAGATCATAAAGAATTCTAAGAGTAAACACCACTTCCAAAGGGACTCTGCAAATCCAGGACTTGCACATGTTAACTAAAAACAGGAGTCAAAAGAATTTGTGCACACGGAGGCAGTCGGGCAGCATTGTTTACCTTCTCATGGTCCTGTGGAGTGACTTGGTTCTGGCCAGGACTAAAGCCACCAGGCTGGCCTCCACCCTGCATATTGGCTCCTTGCATGCCTGCCCCCTGCATGACTGGGACCTACGTGCACAAAGAGAGATGAGGAAAGAGATTTTTGCAATGTCTCATATAGGCAGACAGAATCCAGTAACAGCAATGTTTAAAAATATGATCTGAGTATGGATATGAGTAAGAAAAGCAAATTAATGATTCTGAAGATCATTCCTACTGCTAGCAATGGCAGAAGGCAGGGTTTAGGCAGAGATCAATTAACATGTTAGATACATTTGCTTACAACAGCTCCAGCTCAACAAATACCACATAGCACAACTGGATACCATCAAATCAAGCAAAATTCAGCCACATAAGCACAAAGAAAACAGAGCATCCTGGAAAGTAGTGTTCAGTGGAAACAGAAATGAAAGCTGACAGATTTTAGAGATAATGGATGCTGGTCCACTGGGGAAGCTACATTCACAGGGATACCGCCTACCTCTAGTTCAATCAGACATAGGTTGTTCATCCCAAAGGGCCCTATCCCACAAGTAAGGCAGAGACGATCCTAATGGCAGAGGCAGAAAGGAGATGGGAAGCCTCTGGGGAGAAGACTGCTATTAGCCCAACATTTGTTTTTTTTGTAACTTTCCAGAGAGAATATGCAGCAGATGCTAAATGCATACCAAGAAATATATATGATTGACCCAAATTAAAAGAACAAAGTGCAATTATAACATACTTATTGATATTTAAGATCTTTGGTGAGTTCAATCTTTGAAGACTACCAGAACCCAGGAATAGGCCTCAGAGCACCTAGAATAGCTTAAATAATCCCTATGCTGAAGTTATGTTTACATTCAGGCATTCACCTAGAGTTTAGGTTCTCTTATTAAACATAATTGTTAGCAAACTTGTTACCTGCTTCCCCAGCAGATTAGAAGCAGCAAAGCATAAAAGAAATGAGGATAGACTGTTAGGAGCAGATACCACAACAGCAATATGAGGAGCCAGGTGACAGCCTGACAGTGAAGGAAACTAGAAACCAAACAGGAAATAACTCTGCTTTCTATTACAGCATGTACAATAATGGATACATTTAATGGTGACCTTGAATAGTCAAAATGATTAAAGTAAGTTTTTGTATTTTGTTTAAGAAAGGAAGGAAGCATAATACAAAGTTGCTTTTCATTTGACTAGTTAAAAATTTGGTAGAATAGTTCCATTATCTACAACATTCATTTACATACATTAACTCACTAGACATTAGAGAGATGAAGCATTAGTACGACTTTATAAAGGTTGCTAAAATATTATCACTTCCTGGTCTTTATTGATACTGAATCCACAGATGAGTCTGAACTTTCATAATCTGTTATGGACCTGAAACATCTTTAAGTACTAATTTGAAGTATTGTAATGTGATCTAATCATTCACTAATTGCCATGTAAAGTTTCTAGGAGCACCTATTCCAGACAGACAATAATATGGGTGACTACACATCTAGGTTTGCCTAAGACAGTCCCAGTTTATGCTTCTGTCAGAGTAAATACTAACAGCACTCTCACTCTCAAATGTGTCCCTGTTTGATGAGAAGTTATATAATTCCTCCAGCAATAATAATCCTTTTACTGATGACTTTCCAATTTATGTGTAATGGAGGTAATTTAAAAATCTGATTTAAAATGCTCAATTAAGGATATACTGTTAAGTAAAAAACAAGGCACAGAACAGCGAAAGGAAAAAAATATATATGTATATTCATATTTGAAAAAATAAGAATATATATTATTTGCTAGAATGATACATTAAAAATCTAATAAAAGCAATTACCTATAGGAGATGGGGGTCACAGGGGAGACAGGTACAGGGGAAGAAGTGAGGTTCTTATTGTATATCTATTATATATGAGTGAATGTATTTTAGATATTTAATTATACGTGTACACATTGACTCAAACCATTTTTAAAAAGGTTAGAACATAAAATTTTTATTTTCACTACCTCAGATCTAATTAGCTTTATAGAATCTACTAATGGAAACTATATAAGCCTAATATTACAGAATAATGATTTCAACCACTAGCAGAGATAAAGAAGCAAGACATCATCTAGAAACAGTCTTCCAACCACTATTTTCAGTGTCTTTCTCCACAGAATTATCGACAGAATTATCTAAACACATCATGTAGTTATTTGCTGTCTGTCTCCCCAACTAGAATGGAAGTCCATAAGAACAGGGACTTCTTTTTTCACAACGCTATATCCTTATTACCTATAGTTCTCTTTGGTACAGGGTAGGTGCTCAATAAATATTTGTTGGATGACTGAATGAACACACAAAACCATTTTTATTATGAGGCTACTGACCATAGAGGGCACAATAAACATCGAGGTCCATGAACACATTTTTTAAAAATACAACTTGAGAAACAACAGATTATAGTTTTCTTCTACACATACCAGAAACAACACACTCATATTTCATGTTAAAGAGGGGGGTAGACACACATATACACATACACAACATGCAGGTAACAGGACAGAGTGGTACAGTGGAAAAAATAGGGGATCCTATTCTTTGCTCTGCCACTTTTTAGCTGTGTGAATTTAGATAAGTCACCTGAATTCTTGGGTTTCAGTGTCCAAACCTACAAAATGAGAGAACTGGATGACTGACATGTTCCATTTCAGTTCTGACATTCTCTCTCTCTCTCTGTTTCTCTCTCTCATACACACACTCACAGAGGAGGGGAGGAAGGCACAGAAGCATATGAAAGGGAAAAGAGAGACAGAACTATGTAGAGAAAGGAGGAAGACACATATAGGAAAAAGATTGGGGTAGGGGCTAGAGCAGCCGTGGGCAAACTACGGCCCGCGGGCCGGATCCGGCCCGTTTGAAATGAATAAAACTAAAAAAAAAAAAAAAAAAGACCGTACCCTTTTATGTAATGATGTTTACTTTGAATTTATATTAGTTCACACAAACACTCCATCCATGCTTTTGTTCCGGCCCTCCGGTCCAGTTTAAGAACCCATTGTGGCCCTCGAGTCAAAAAGTTTGCCCACCCCTGGGCTAGAGTGAGATGAAGGTTCTAGCATATAAAAACTCAGGGAAGAAAAACACCATCACACAACCAACTGGGGTGAAGAGGGAGGAGATGACAACACACCGACAAAGACAAACATATGCTCTCATAGCTGGAGACAAAAAGAAAGCAGAGGTAAAAATTCAGTTCCACAGGTTTTAAGGTGAGCATTAGTAAACTGCCTTTCATACTCACTGTTCACTTAGGCTATGCAATGAAAGAAAATTAAAACAGGTTTCTGCAAACCGAAGATTATCTAAATGACCACTAAGAACTCTTCATATACTCTAGTGCAGTGGCTCTCAGGGTTGTACATTAGAATCGTTTAGGAGTTTTTCAAATGACCCATGTCTAGATTCTATGGATATGATCTTTAAAAAAATTTTTTTTAATTTAAAGATTTTTAGAAAGAGAGAGGGAGAGAGAGAAAAAGGAAAGAGGGAGAGAGGGGGAGATTTGTTGTTCTACTTATTATGCATTCATTGGTTGATTCTTGTACGTGCCCTGACTGGAGGGTAAACCCTCAACCTTGGCGTATTGGGACAATGTTCTAATCAACTGAGCTACCCGGCCAGGTCCCAGATATACTCTTTATCTCTGCTCTGAATGGAAAAGCTCCTGAAATTGTGAGACAAGGTTGCTCTTTCGGACTATAATCCTGTTAATCAGAAATCACTATCCTAAGAAACAGAGAAACTACAGGAAGGGAGATTCTAATCTTCCCTTTCTAACAAGCTGAGAAATAGCCCAAATCAAATAAAGCAGTAATAATCAGGCTCAATAATCAGTTCCAGAATAGATCAAGATTTCACATAGAAGCCAGAAGTGAATGTGTCATACATACCTGTCTGGATCCCTGGGGGCCAACTGCCCCCATGTTAATTGGATTGGGACCCTGGATTCCACTAGGTATAGGGCCTCTAGGGCCAGGGACTGGGCCCCTTGGATCCATGCTTCTGGCCTCCATCCCTCTGACTTCCATTGCACGGGCCTCCATCGCTCGGGCCTCCATCGCACGGGCCTCCATTGCACGTGCCTCCATCGCACGGGCCTCCAATCCTCTGGCATCTAATCCTCTTGCCTCCATGGCTCGTGCCTCCATCCCTCGTGCGTCCATGCCTCGGGGATCTCTTCCACCTATAAAGTAAGGTCCAAGAAAACCACTGTGTAGCTATTCACCTTTACTGCAAGAAGAATCAACAACCTAAGAAAGACAGAAAATTTTTAAGTTTTAAGAAAAACTTAAAAATGCCTGCCAACCCTATCACCCCAGCATTCTTTATCCCAGATTAGAGCCTAAGATAGCTGGCTTTATCATCAACCCACAACTACCAGTCAATGTTGTGATGTGGTCTGCCCTTACCTCTGCCATCCAAGGGTGGACCCCTCTGATCTAGCATGGGTCCTCTTGGCTCTGCCATTAGAGGTCTGGGCTCGGCTAATGGCCCTCCCCTCATGTCATGTGGGGGCGGGCCACGACTGTCATGGCCAGGGACATGGTGCATGGGTGGACCCTGATGAGGTGGTCCCAGGTAACCTCTACAGATGGAAAAAATGATTATATTTTAAAACAGAACCTAAAAATAAGACAAAAGTATTAACCAGAAGATCAGTAAATAAAAATTAGACAAAGAACTTATGTAAACACCAGTCTATGAATGCTAAGAGAATAACACCAAACAGATTGAAAAAAAAGCTATAGAGATATAAATCAACATATTCTAGAACTTCATATTTGGTCAGGGTACTCATAATTAAAGAGGACTTAAAGTGGATATCCATTATATATAATGAGTATGCAGTATAGTGCTTAAGAACACTGTTATCATATGGGTTCAAATCTAGGCTCCATCACTTATTAGCTGTGTGATCTTGGGCCCATTTACTTAACTTCTCTATGCCTTGGTTTCTTCATCTGTAAAATGGGACTGATATTATATCAACCTCACAGGTTCATGTGGATTTAATGAGATGATCCAAATTCAGTACTCAAAGTAGAGTCAGAGGCATAATTCTCATTAATATAAATTGTTTTAGTATGATTATTACTGCCATTATTAATATTACTACTACTAATAAGCAATATAAGTTTTTCCGGCCTGGGTATGTATGCTAGAATTTCTAATTTCTGAAGATGCAAGTTGTCATGGTTAGTTCAAAATGACATACTCAAGTACACAGTTCTGTCCAAGGAGAAGTGCTTAGTCTTGAATAGCAGCCAAGAGGCATAACTGGTATGGAAAGACTTTGTTCTCAAAGCAAGGGAAAATTCTGATTCCTCTAAGCTTTTCCTTCTGTGTCATTGCTTACCTAGGCTCTACCTCTCCAGTTACAGAAAGTAAAGTGCCCCCACGTGGGTCATTTGGAGCATCTCCTAACAGACCTCGAGGAGTTGGGACGTTGGCAGGCAAGGGCCCACGCTGCATAGCTGCTCTGGGGTCTTGCATCGGCACTGACAGGGAAACAAATGGGGAGTTACTGCTGTGAAGGACACAAGGAAACAAGAAATGACTCTATACACCACTGACAACATAATTCAGACACCTTAGAGTGGGTGAAACCTCACCACAGCAGACTCCTCTTGCAGTTCAAGAACAGAAGCAGGGTGTAAGCAGAATCTGTGCCATGTCAGAGGTATGGATGGAATTATATAAAGAGCAAACTGGGGAGCAATCTGCCAAGGACTAGCACTGCAACCTGAAGAAACTTATACACCCGGTTTTCCTTATAATCAACCCTAGTTCAAGGACCAGAGTCACAAAAAAGAGGTAGGGTATCGGAATATGTGAACACTGCCATGGCTCTGCAAGAACCTGCTGTCTCCTTACAGACTGCTATTCCATCCAAGCCTCCTGACACCAGTAGGGAGGGAGTACAGCCTCAGACAGATGCCCATATCATCCATGTTCTCTGCCCTGTGTGAAGAGGTCAATCTTAGGCTTGTGGCCCCAACAGGAAAAAAATTAAAAACAAAAACCCAAAACACTACCCTTTTGGGTTCTGAATGTGAGGATGACTGACAAGCAGCCCTTGTCCTCTCAATGTCCCACCCTGAACACACAAGCAAAAGGAAACCCACAGATACAATGGGTACCTTGAACTCGCTCAATTGATGCAGGCCCGGCGGGTCCCACAGGCGAGTGCTGTAGGGTTCCTAGGTAAGCAGTAAGTTGAAAAGGAGAAAGAGCAGACACTTAAAATAGCTTGAACACACATGCAGAGACATACACACACAGACACTGGAGATTTATATGTGTAAGTTAAAAAGTCAAGAGTTCATTAGTTTGCCTAGGCTATAAAATCTTCCTTTACTATGTTAGCATCTTTGGTTCTGCTTTCATCAGACTGCTTCCAAAGCCGAAACCTGTGGGACACTGATTTTACTGGGGCAGGAATAACCAGCCACTTTCCATTTTCACCTCTGCTACTATGATTCCCCCTAAATCTCCTTAGAAAAGAAAATATAAAAAGGATGGTTCTGAATTTCTATTTAGGTAAAGAGTATAAACATATTTCATAAGTAAAAAATAAAATAACTTATACTGAATGTGAAGGCAAGATTTATTCTGGAGAGGCCCATAACAGAAGTACCAAATGGGGAAATACAATGAATGAACTTTAGACAAGGAAAGAGAGTATCATTCCTCAAGAAATACTCTGTCACTGCAAGTCTTTCATTATAAACAAACACCATGACAACAGCAAACAAAGACTAATGAGATGACAAAAGCACTAACACTAAACAAAGGTGGCAGAAGGCAAGAGAAGTATCTTCTTAAACATCTCACGGTCTCCTTTCACCATTATAAATGTGCCAAAGAAACAGGAAAAGAAAGACAAACTAGGTATAAATGGAAAGATTCTGGCTTCCTCTGCTGGATACTGAAGGAAAACCATGAAGGAAAACTCATCTCACTTTGTCTCTTCATGAAGACAGCCTTGAGATGCCTTCAAAACTCGAGCCATTTCCCTGTTAACTTTTGACCAGAAAAATGAAGATAACTATAGCAGGAAGGAAGATGTCTTGTGGAAGTATATATTAAAAAGCTATAGCTTGAATTATGGCTTGGCGGAGGTAAAAGTATGACTGAAACCCCAATTCCTTCAAACTACTGCAAAAATACTTAAGGTTTATACACAATCTATTGATTAGCTGAGGGGGGTGGGGCACAATTGCACAAAAGCATGGAATACTCAGATGAAGTATTTAGCCAAGAGCTTGTCCTACTATCAACCATCTGACAAGTTTATTAGTTGTCACTTCAGTAACCAACCCCAGTGTATATAGATAAGGAATAAGTATATAGTCCTATTTCTTAATATTTTGCTTAAAAATAGGTTTTACTTATAGGCCATATGCTAAGAATAACTTAAGCTTCTCTATGCTTGTCCAAAGAAAATATTTTGGAAGTTAATAGAGGTGGTAAGGATTGACAAAAAGAGGATTCTAGGATCAGAGACTTTAGAATCTTAGCTCTGTCACTTACTAGCTGGAAGAGAAGATGAGTGCCCCAAGTCCAGTCCATGTGACTCAGATATAGGCATTTACTTACCATGTCCCCTTCAGTACGGGATTCAAAACTCTGAGCTTCCATCTCTTTATGAGAAAACTGAAGTGCTGCTCCCTAACTCACAAGGTTGTTTATAAAAATTAAAGTGCTTGACCTATAGTATGCACTCAATTTTATTGTTAGCTCCCTGTTTTCTCACTATCTCTCCTCCTAATGTTGTTTTTAACTGAACCACTGCATTTTCTTTTTCTTCAAACTCTAGTAACATAGAGAATTAATGTGGAGATTTCGTAGTGCTTAATGCTGTGGTATCCAGTGTTACTGCCATCAAGTAGATTTCACAGACCTTTGGTCCCCTCCCAGTATTCTCTGGGGTTTCAATTTAGTCTTCTACATAATCAGCCACACATTACATGCTCATTATTAGCATTCCTTACTCAATCAACAGATATCCATAGAGGAAGAGCGAACATGTCAGTAGAATCATTATAGACTATCAGGAAAAGGTGATATGAATTAAATGGCAACAAAGGATCCTTTGCTTCATCATCAATTCTTGTAGAGCTGGGTTCTGAATCACTAGATGGAAAGTACAGACCAGAGGTGTCAAATTGAATTTTCTGCAATGATAGAAATTATTTGTATCTGTAATATCCAGTAGGGTATCCACCAGCCCCATGTGGCCATTGAGCAGTTGTAATATGGAACTGAATTTTAGATTTTACGTAGTTTCAATTTAATTCAAATTACTTTAACATTCAAATATGTTGAAGTATACGTGGATAGTGGCTACCACATTGCCATCTTAGTGCAGATATAGAACATTTCCAAGTCCAGTCCACATTAATCAGATATTACTACCTATTTACCTTGTGCTCGTTCCATGGGCACTGGTCCACCTCCTGGCATTCCAACCTGGGCCGGCATCCCTCCTAGAACATAAAGGGCAAGAAAGAAAACACAAATTAGAACAGTGGGGAAACAATTAGCACGGTGGCTGAGTTAACAAATATCCTCTTTCTTCCTCACAGAAACCTAAAAAGGCAGATAACTACCACCAAACAATGTAGTTATATAGAAGATGGGAATTTGTTAAGCTTCAGTGACAGAAAAGTGAATTAATCTCCAGTAGGAGGCATGCAGGAGGCAGCCAATTAATGATTATCTTTCTCTCCCTCTCCCTTCCTCTCTGAAATCAATAAAAAATATTTTTTTAAAAAAGAATTACCCTGCCATGCGTGTGCAGGAGGCAACCAATCACTGTGTCTCTCTCACATCCATGTTTCTTTCTCTCTCTCTCTCTCTCTCTCTCTCTCTCTCTCTCCCCCCCCCCCTCCTACTCACCCTCCCTCTCCCTCCGACTCTCTCTAAAAAAAAAAAATCAATGGAAAAAATATCATCAGGTGAAAATTAACAAAACAAAGTAAACAAAATATTTACCCTGTCTTGCAAAACTTTCAAATGTCTCGAACATTCACACAAATGAATATCTGTTTATGGTCATCAGAACTCAAAACCCAAGTCTGTTTTATTTGTAAACAAAAAGGTCCTTTGCCCTATTTATATGTTTGTGTTATATTTTCCAGAAATTCAGAAATGAAGTTACTGAGTAAATTATGGGCACTATATTTTGTTTTGTTAAGAACTTTACCAAGAGCCCTGGCCTGATGGCTCAGTTGGTTGGAGCATAGTCCTATGCCCTGAAGGGTCTTGGGTTTGCTTCCCGGTCAGGGAACATACCTGGGTGGCAGGTTCGATCCCCTGATCAGGGTGCGTATAGGAGGCAACCCATCAATATTTCTCTCTCACATCAATGGTTTTTCTCTCGCTCCCTAAAGTTAATAAAAACATGTTCTCGGGTGAGGATTAAAAACAAACAAACAAACAAACAAACAGAACTTTACCAAGAGTTTTCTTCATTTCAGAAAATCACATCACTGATGTCAAAGTACTTGTGGTATTTGTCAGAAAGACATACCTGTATCTATCTACATTTGTAGCTTTAACATTCATGAGATAGGTGCAAGCATCTGACTACTACCTTTTGCTTTCTAGTATAGTTTTGCCCGAATAATTGTATATTAAAAATATTTTGTTATAAATTAATATATTTTAACTTATCCTTTATGTTATGCTTAGGACATTGTACTGATTTTATTTATTTATTTTTGAAATCATGTTAGGTAGGTTATATGTTCTGTGCATTTCATTTCAGGATATTAAAGAGTCAATGCAATGTATCTATTAGGAAAAGGGGCCAAAGATAGAATTGAGAACCACTGGTCTATTCTAACCAGTATGATAACAGTATGATAACTGCTATACAAAAAATAATCATTCTTCTCTTTTCCTCAAAAGAACAACATATGCTGCAAGTGGGGAAAATATACAAGCTGAACTATTTGCAGTCATTAGTACTTACCTAACATATCAAGTACACTTCACATTCTCTTATTCCATTTAACATACCAGGCATCAAAGAGCCATGGATACAAAATACCTGAACTGGTGCTAGGCCAAGCCCTGCTACTAAGTGTGATTTTGAACAAGTTATTGGATGAAATTAATGTATTTCCAGGCTTCCGCATATGTAATGTGAAGGAGTTGGCTTACACCAGTGTGGTTCTTAGAGTATAGTCCTCAGACAAGTAGCATCAGCATCACCAGGGACTTGTCAGAACTGCAAATATTCAGGGCCCTACCTCGGACCTGCTGAATTAGAGTCTGGAGGTGGGGACCTGCGATTTGTGTTTTAATAAGCTCTTTTGGTGATTCAACTTCAAACTAAGTTTGAGAATCACAGGTCAAATTGATTTCAGAGCTGTCTTACAGCCATAACATTTTATGATTTATTCAGACCACTCACCAAAACGATATAAAGATAACTATCTGAAGAAAGTGGTGGCAGAAAGAATTATGGGCATCATTTCTCATGTTATAAATGATCACATAACGGCACTTTTATTGTATGCACTTGCTTCTCAGAAGTGGAATTGGTGGGTCAAAGTGTATATGAATCTTTAATGTGCGACTTTCTTAAAAGGTGGAAAAACTTCACATTTCTGGCAGCAATGTAATTAATGATACCACATTCCCCATCAAGAGTGTCATCTCTCTTTGAAACTTTTGCTGGTTGGATGGGTTTAAGTAAAGCAAAATCCTGCTATTTAACTTGCAGTCCCCTGCCTATAAATGAATTTGTTCTTATTGCCATTTGGATTTGCTCTTCTATGAAGTGCCTATTCATTTTCTTTGCCTAATTTCCTAGTAGGTTATTCTCGCTTCTCATGAACTGTCAAAGAGCTTTGTAAGGGTACTCAAAAATCTTAGTAGAGTTTTAAGTTTTAATAACTTTAGAAGTATAAATGCTATACACTCACCAAAAATATCACTTGAAAATTCATTTACTCTTAACAACTTAATTCCCTCTTCTTGATATCTTTTTTAAAAATTATTTTTCTAATTCTTTAAAACTAGGACTTAAGATTCATTTATTCTTTAATAATATAGGCATTTAAGGATATTCATTTCCTTGCATACCACTTTTATTATTTCCCATAGTTTTTTATATGAAGTGTACTACTTTTTGTTCTTTTAGATAATTTATAAATTTCTACTTTTTTCTTTAATTCAAGAATTACCTAGAGTATGTTCCTAGTACAAGTTTTTTCCAGTCACCATTTAATTATTTATTTCTAGTTTTATTGGCTCATAATCAGAGAACACAGCCTGTAAAATCAGCCTTTAAAATCTCTGTATTTTAAAATTTGTTTTTATTTTATGGCTAAGTACATGGCCAAGTTTTTTTCTTTACTGTGCCATGGTCATTTGGGGGGTGGGGTGCATTCTCCAGTCAAAAGATATAAGGCACCTTCTATATATTACATCAAGCTTATTGATTCCATTATTTTATTCCTTTACATCCTTACTTATTTTTTGTCCACTAACACAATGCTACTCAAAGTGTGGTCCACAGACAATGTCGATCCACATTCTGTGTTAACAGTTCATGACAATGTAAGTATAGAAATGGAGAGCAGTCACTTAGAAACCTTTATAGCAATTTGACATTGCTGTGATATTTGAGTGCATGGTCATCACACTTGGCTCAGGGTATTTGGATGATTTTCAACTCGTAATGAGCTGCATATGTCATGGCTTGCAGACTTGTCAGGTGTAGTAGGACCATATTACAACTATTTTAAGGTAAATTATTCACTTACAATTCATAAATATATAAAATACAGGATCTATTTTTTTTCACTGAAAGATAATTTAAATTTAACTGTAACATTATAGGACAGTGATGGCGAACCTTTTGAGCTCGGCGTGTCAGCATTTTGAAAAACCCTAACTTAACTCTGGTGCCGTGTCACATATAGAAATTTTTTGATATTTGCAACCATAGTAAAACAAAGATTTATATTTTTGATATTTATTTTATATATTTAAATGCCATTTAACAAAGAAAAATCAACCAAAAAAATGAGTTCGCTTGTCACCTCTGACACGCGTGTCATAGGTTCGCCATCACTGTTATAGGATAAATGAAAATTGTGGGTTGCTGAAATTTCTTTAAAAATCCCTTCTTCTGTCCTTTGTCCACTTGTCTCTGTACAAAACAGAATGATTTATTCAAATTATCCCCCATGAGTAGTGATGCAGTCAATCTAACCCAGATTAGATAAATTAATAAGAAGATTGCTTTAAAAAAAACTTTTAATATTGATATACATTATGTGTTCATACAGGTGTTTCACATGGGGAATCTCTATTTCATGCATACCTTTAGTTACAATTACTGAATGATGAAAAGCTACAAATGTAACAGCAATACTATATTAATTCCTATATAAACAATTTCAATGAACAAATTAAGTTTTTAAAATTCTTTTTTCCTTTTGTTCTTTGGTCTGATTATATTTATTTATTAATTTTAGAAAGAGAGGAAGAGACAGACTGAGAAACATCAATTTGTTGTTCCATTATTTGATTATTTGATTCATTATTTGATTCTTGTATGTGCCCTGACCAGAGATGGAACACACAACCTAGGTGTATCAGGAGGATACTCTAACCAACTGAGCTACCCAGCCACGGCCTGGTCTGATTATATTTAATGAAATAGGATTTTATGTCTGTTAAAAAAGAAGAAATATGTCCATGTATTCTGTCTGTTTTTTTCCCCATTATGTTTTTACCCTAATCTAACAGTCTCTGATTTCTAATGGAAGAATTCAATCCATTCACATTTAGTAGAATAATGACTATACAAGATTTTATTCCTTCCCCCTTACTCTACTTTTATTATTACTTACTTCACAATATCATTTTATTTTTCTCTGTATTTGCTGGCTTGCTCTAGTTTCCATTCCAATTTTCCTTTTGTTAATTTGGAAGTTTTACTGTACCTTTCCTCTTTACTGTCCTTTTCCCTGCTCTCATAGGATTTGTATATAAGAAACCAATTATTTCTTCCACCTAGGACGGTGGTTGGCAAACTCATTAGTCAACAGAGCCAAATATCAACAGTACAACAATTGAAATTTCTTTTGAGAGCCAAATTTTTTAAACTTAAACTATATAGGTAGGTACATTGTTATTAACTTAATTAGGGTACTCCTAAGCTGGCCTTTGCTAAAAACGCCCTCAATCTGATTGAGGTACGTTCGCTGAGGTCGACCCCTTCCAACTCTCCCATCCACACTCGTCTTGTATACTTGTTTCGTCTATCTCCTTTCGTTCATCCTCTCTATATGTCCAAACCATCTCAACATACCTTTCTCAATCCTCGACACTACATCTTCTTTCACTCCACAACGTTCCCTAAAATTAACTTAATAAACTTTACTTTTGTCACCTGCACGCGGTTTGCAAACACGACTAGCACTAACCACTGCACAATGAGACTGCTGACTGACTGGCTCACTCAACTTGTGCATGAATCGCGCGTGCCTCCCCCGTGCCGCGTCTCCCGTTGCCCGACCGACACCCGCCACTTCTTCAAAATAGACTCGTCCAGGCCGAAAACCGACTTCTGTGCATGGGCCACGAAGTTTCAATGGCACTGTCCGTGCGCGCCCACACGTGGTATTTTGTGGAAGAGCCACACTCAAGGGGCCAAAGAGCCGCATGTGGCTCATGAGCCGCGGTTTGCCAACCACTGACCTAGGAGCTATATTTCCTAGTTGTGTATTAATTTTATATCAAGATCTATCCCATTTGCAATAAAAAACTTTAGCAAAATACCAAAATGGTGAAGACTCTAAATGCAACATACCGCCGGGAGCTAAGGCACCAGGGCCAGGTCCTGTTACAGCAGTTGGTATTTGTCCTGGTGCTGGAACTCCAGCCTGCATAGAAGCTTGCATCAAAGGAGGTGCACCATTGACATGCATGCCACCCTGACCAGGAGAAAAATCAGAGTATGTAGACATCTCAGTGGAGACTCAACACACAAAGTCTATGACCTTAAAGAACTCTTCAAGCTGACAACCCAAATATTCTACCAAGAATCCTTTTTGTATAGCATGTCTCATGCAAACTTTGAACAGAATATGCAATACACATGAAAAGCCCGGTTATAATACAGTTAAGATGGACCGTATTCTAAAAGCTAAGACTGACAAGTCTTATTTGTGTGTTGAGGCTACATGTAGCACCTATTGTTGACTTCATGACTGGGGCTTAGCAATAAGACTAAAAAAAAAAGGTGCCAAGGAGAAAAAGAGGAGACTAGGACATTTTTATAAAGAAACTGCTGGCAGTCTGAATTTTTAAGATGAAATTTTAAAAATCTGACCAATGTTTTCTCATCCCTGTCCTGAGATATAATTCTGGTTTGGGGGGAATGTTAATTTTTTAAAGCTACATTAAAGCTCCTGGAGGGAAAGGGATTGTTTTCATTTATATATTCCCCTAAGAAGTGAGCAGTCCCTTGGAATAGAAAGAGCTTAATAAAGAAAGAGTAAAAACTAAGTTATATTTTTAAAAATCACATATACTCTCAGAGAACACAAACAAAACTCTCAAACAGAACACTGTATTAAAACAGGTTATGAGGTCACACAGAACCAGGTTTAGATCCTGGATGTGCCACTTACAATTATGCTATTTTTGGACCAGTTAACCTCTCTGGGTCTTAATTAATTTCATTGTATTTCTGAAAAAATGTTTAATTACAATAGGGGTTAGCAAACTATGGCCCATGAGCCAAATCTGGCTTACTGCCTCATTTCATAAATAAAGTATTGGAACACAACCACGCACATTTGTTTATGTATTGTCTGTGGCTGATTTCAAACTCCAATGGCAGAGTTGAGTAGTTAGGATTCCATGGCCTGCAAAGCCAAAAATATTTACTACTGGCCCATTTACAAATGTTTGCCGACTCCCGCCTTAAACCTTTGTATCATCTACCTAAGTGGTTTGCCTCTGCCAATCTGATAGGTAAAAAATGTTAGATTTTTGTACTTTCTGTTTACATTTATCTTTTTTTGAGGTTGAACACTTTACCATATGTTTAATACATATTTGTATTTCCACTTTCGTGAATTGTTTATGTGAATTGCAAACTTTTCTACTGAGTCATTGGTAATTTTATTACTAATTTTAGATCCTTATAAGTGCTGGAAATATCTACTTTCCAGCACTTATAAGGATCCAATGATAACTTTAAATTCTCTGGAGCTGAGAAATACGTGATTTGCTAGTTTCTTATTTCTGTGGAAGAAAGTAACAAGAGTGTATTTTCTGCTCTTAGAGTATCATGAAAAATTCCAGATATATAAATTATATGGTTAATAAAATTAACCACACAGCTTAGGAAATAAATTATATACACAACTGAAATCTCCCATATGGTCCTCCTTAACTGCACCCTGTGTCGCCTTCTTAGACAGCCACTTCAGAAGTCTTACTGGTGTTCTGAAATTTTATGTAAATCATTATATACTGAACATAGTCTTTGTAACTCACTCAACATATATTTGGGATATATGCAGATACATGTATCCCATATTTTGGGAATGCTTCCACATTCACTTATTTCCACTTCTGTTCAGTATTATGTTTTTAAGTTATCTGTGTTGATACCATGTATCCTAGTTCATCTTAACTGCTATATAGAATTATGTTTTTGAAAGTGATTCATTGTGACAAATATAGTTTAACTGTTGCAAAGTATACCATATTTTCTTCATTCTTTTGCTGATGTACATTTAGAATGTTTTTAATTGTTCACTATGATACTGTGGCAATAAACATGCTTCAAGATGATTAAAGGCTCTTAAATAATAACCCTGTTGTTCACATGTGTGGCAAATACTTTTTCCCAATTTGTCATCTGCCTTTGGTGTTTATTTCTTTTCCTCCATAAAGAATTTTTTCAGTTTTCAAATGTACTGGTTTTCTATGGCTTCAGGGTTTTGTGTAACACTTAGAAAGCTAGGTTTTTACTTTTTTCATTGGTAAGAATGGAGATAAGAGTGCCACCTCATATAATCGCTGTATTAAATAAAGTATTAAATTATACAGTGTATATAAAATAACAAAGTACCAACCACAGTGCTACACATGCATAGACACACAAAATTAGCTTATAAAAGGGGCGTACAGGAAGGACTTCTTTGTTTACGAACTTGGCATCAAATCTATATTCATTCAGATGCCACATAGTCTGCAACCTGGAAACTGCCTTTATGCCTGGAAATTGAAATTACCATCTCTGGCTCTGGTCCATTCTGCTTTCAATATATCCTCCTAAAAAGAAAATGACATTCTAAGACAGATAAAAGAAATGTTAAAGAGTAAAGCCATACCATAGGCTGGGCCCCAGGGGCCTGAGGATTCTGCTGGTTCATTGGCACACCGGCTCCTGAGGGAGGCCCAGCACTGTGGACTGGCTGAGGATTGCCTGCCATCAGTGTTGGGATATTTGTCTGGCGATGCAGAATTTTCTAAAAAGTAAAAAGACAAATCTATGAACTGTCTGTTTAACAAAACAATCAAGTAGTTCCTACCCCTACTCAAGGTTTACCTCAGTATTTCCATAAAAGAACCAGTAGCACTCACCAGGGCGATTTCTGGATCCACAATTCTCATCACTACCTGTGCTTGTAGCAAAGCATAAGCCAGTTGAGGGTTTTGGAGCAACATGTTCCGTGCTTCCTGGGGACTATTCTGGACACAAAGCTGAAAAGATACACAGAATCATCATCAGGTTCAATACTTATTGCTTAGAAATCAATAGTGACTTAGAACTATTCCCATCAGAGAAAAGCAATGGTTTTTGCATAGCACACAAAATTTTGTCACAGCAGGCAAGAGAAGGAAGAGGCATTTCAAATACCATAATTCAATCATTTAGGAAAAAATTCACATTTTAATATCTACATTCTGATATCTATGGGCCACAAAAACCCAGCCAGATTATATTGGTGTGGTTTGTGTACAAAAATGGGAAGCTCTTTGCACAAAATGTAAAATATACTGTGCACATATGGAATAGTAAAGGTGCAAGAAATGGTGGTCAACAGGCACACCTTCTACTTGAGCTCAGGGAATCATTTCCATTTACTTCATCAATAACTCTTGAAAATGTGATGTGATTGGATTTATTCATAATTTAATGCCTCCTCCCACCTTCATCTGTTTCATCAGCTCAAACATCTGCTCCGGTGGAAGACTGGCAACTGCTTTGCTAATGGACTCAGGAGCATCCTCAGGGCTGATGGTCTCTCCATAAGGTGATTCAATGACAGGGGCACCAGTGCCAAGGCCTGATCAGGAAGAAAGTACAAAAAAGTTAAAGAGGCAAAATAAAGAGCTAAATCATTTCAAATATCTACTTTCCAGCACTTATAAGGATCCGATGATAACTTTAAATTCTCTGGAGCTGAGAAATATGTGATTTGTTAGTTTCTTATTTCTGTGGAAGAAAGTGACAGAGTGTATTTTCTGCTCTTAGAGTAAAGCTGGGGCTAGGATCATATAGGTGAACAATGTTAACCTAAATTAGGGATTAAGCATATCAATTTCCTTTGACAAGTAATTTCCGAAGCAAAAGGTTTAAACAGAAAAAGATGCTAATTTCAAAATGGAATTTCTGGATCTACCACCTCATAAAAAAGCCATAAGAATGCCTTAGCGTCTCCACCAGCTACAGATCTGGCAACATAGTTACTGGAGTGGCAAACACCAAGGACATATTTAGTACTACTAATCACTTGGTGGCCTGAATTCATCTTCAAATGGAATTAACTCCTTAGCAACTGAAGGACTTCTAAAGTCACCTTTACCTTGTTTCTCAAAGATATACACTTCCCCAGTGCAGGTACCTCAGGTGGGTCAAGTAAAGAAGCTGTGTGGATAACCATTTAAGCAGATGCTAAAACATACCATAAATGGAAAATCTTCATTGTTACATCTCTACTAACTTGGGTTCATACTCACTCTTCAGTTCTTCTTTGTTCTTTTCACTGGCAGCATTATCCACTCGAAGTGCTCTTCCACTGAATTCACGCCCATTCAGGTTTCTCATGGCACTAAGTGCTGTCTCTTGGTCTTGGTATTCACAGAAGCCATAACCCTTTGGCTTTCCTGTCTCCCTATCATATACCAACCTGAAGAGCAGAACCAAGTATCAGGCATAACTGTTACATACACACAGGGATCCTGCAAACATTGCCATGTTCCAATTTGGTGAACTGTAAGCCAAATAACTATCAGTCTGACTGCCTCACTGAACTATGTTTTAAACAATGAAAAATTTTATTTTAAAATTACAATTGACATTCATAAACATTTTAAAAAATGAATCCCTCTCTCAGCTCACTTGACAAGATAGGGCAGGTCAAAAGGATCAATAGTGAAGGGGCTTGCTCAATTTGGTGTGGTAGAAAAAGTCCACACCCAGCAGTGTTGTCAGCAGAAGCGACAATCACAGGGGTGGTTGGGCAGGGAATGCTCACAACTCCACTAGCCTGAGGTTATAGTCATTGTTAGAAAAGGCACATTTTTTTTTTGCTTGACTGTGTGTATGTGCAGCAGATTCTGGAGAAAACTCAAACCAGTTACAAAGACCTGGCTGACGCTAAAGCTGAACATATGTGCATAGGAAACATAAAAAGGGCCTAGGAGAGAGTAAACCCTGGGCATACTTGAAAATGGCATGAACTCTGAATGCTGCCAGCATTCCCAAAAATGTATCTTTTAGTAAAAATGAATGTGAATTGTATGGTCTGTGAACTACATCTCAATAAAGCTGTTACAAACAAAAAAAACCAGAAGAATGCATGTACAAAATCATCAGTAAACCTTAACATTATTTCTAAGGGCCAAATTTGTGGTAATTTTTAAGAAACTCCTACAAATAGCAAAAGAGAATCATACCTGAAACTAACAACGGGTCCAACCTCAGAAAAGATGTCCTTTAACTGCTCTTCAGTAGCTTCATATGGAATGTTTCCCACTAAGGAAGAAAATAGATAACATTAAAATTCTGAGTTTGTAACCTAGATCTTTAGTAAGAAAATAAACAGTATTTTCTTATATCGTGGAAAATATAACAACTGGCTCAAAATACAGTGCTCCTCCAATCCCAGTTCCATGGTACTCCCTTAGACAGGATTTCAATTTTTGCTGACTTTAATTGCAAGAGAAATAAACCACTGAGACTAAATACAAAAGGTGTAGACATGCCTAAATGTCAGTTCACAGACTGATTAGACAAGAGTTAGATTTTCTTTAACTTTGGTGAAAATACTTAGGCATTGGTATTTACCTGAAGGTCTGCAAGTCTTATCAATAACTACTAAAATAATCTATATTGTAATTTTTAAAACCGGCTCATATGTCCATATTTACACACACACCACAAAGGAGAAAGGCCATGGATGTAGTGGAAGATGTTTAAAATTATTCTGTACTGCTTTGCCATGGCCCTTCCAAACAGTGCTTTAAAATCACCACACACAGCCCTGACCGGTTTGGCTCAGTGGATAGAGCATTGGCCTGCGGACTCAAGGATCCCAGGTTCGATTCCGGTCAAGGGCATGTGCCTTGCCCTAGCCGGTTTGGCTCCGTGGATAGAGCAGCGGCCTGTGGACTGAAGGGTCCCGGGTTCGATGCCAGTCAAGGGCACATGCCTGCATTGCGGGCTCAATCCCCAGTAGGGGGCATGCAGGAGGCGGCCGATCAATGATTCTCTCTCATCATTGATGTTTCTATCTCTCTCTCCCTCTCCCTTCCTCTCTCTGAAATCAATAAAAATATATTTAAAAAAAAAAAAAGGGCATGTGCCTTGGCTGTGGGCACATCCCCAGTAGGGGG